TTTGAAATATTGTGGGAGTATTATAACTCTTTTTTTAAAAATTGATGAGACGTTGTTTATGGATTGTTGGAGTTGTTGACCAATTATATTTTGGATTGGTTTCATTGCATTAATAAGGTGAATTTGAATACCATGATGATTATGATGACGGTTCATCTAAAAATAATGTGTTATGTATCCATCTGTTAATGTTTGAGCAATTTTTAAGATGATGAAATGTGACATCCTATTTTGATGTTGATTGGAAATTTTTAATTTACTCCGATTTCATTTAATTATTCGATGGGGAAAATAGGGTGTTACAATTGGTATCAGAGCAGGTCGGCCCGTCCGACCAAGTTGTCTAATGTTGTTTGTTACTTAGTATGCGACAAGTGTGTGAAACACTATTGGTGCTTGCTTACTTTTCTAATCACTTGTTTGCATGAGTGGGATTGAAACAAGTGGGGGAGAAGCTTGTGCTTCTCTGATATGTTTCAGGTATGAACAATTTGTTTAGTATGTCGTGGAATGCATGGGTACAGACGTTAGTGTTGTTGTGTTGTTTTCAAATTTTGAAGGAAGCACGGATTCAAGATTTACTCTTAATGGTCGAGTCAGAGTGTCCTTGAGCAGGAATGATCAGGTACTTGCGTTGTTCGCATCTCTAGGAATGGAGGGTGATGTTATGACTAATGATGTATCAGTTGTGCATTGGTCCCAATGTTTTTCTGGGGATGATTGCGACTTATCGTTAAAGCGAGATGTTGGATCGACTTAATGTTATCCTTGGAGTGGACTGTCTGAAGTGAAACCAAGTGATTACAAATTACTTTGATGAGTCGATGCATATTCTTATGCCATAGGATTTATGTTAAGCAAAGTAGGATGACTTTTAGAAGGTGAAGCTCAGACGGTTGCAATGTTTCAGCACTGTCAGTTGATTGTGAAGTTGTCAATGTTGAGTTAGTATTGTGTGTGATGTCGATGTTTTGAATAGTGATAGAGTGGTGAACTGGTGTGAATTTTGTGTTGGAATCACATATGTGAAATGTTTTTGATGTTGTTGGAGGGTTATGGGTCGCGAGTCAGAGACGGAACTCAAAGATATTAGTAGCCTCGTGAAAAGAGTTGGAATTTTGATGTTTTGGAAACTGAATTTTGAAGAAAGTAATGTGTGTCTCTAGTTATGGGAAGAATGGGGGTTTCAAATATATGTTGGAATTAATTTTGTACACAGAAAATGACAAAATACTGCTTCTATTTAGCCGGTACCCGGTTACCAATAATGGGTACCCGAGTACCCTGGGATGAAAGTAGACAAAACTTCGAAAATTCATAACTTGAGTTCCAAACGTCCGTTTTGAGTTCCGTAAGTGCTAGAAAGCTAACATGATGAACTTTGTTTTAAAAATTGTTCCAGAACCTAGAAGTAATTTATTTGTAACGTGGTGATGTTGGATGAGAGGAGAAATTTGATGTTGATCTCGTGCTTGATACCAGACTTGTTCCTATGGCACCATACAAGATGTCAGTTCAAAAGTAGGGAGAATTGGAGAAGTTATTAGAAGATGTACCGAATGTATCATTTTGGGAGCTTTGATGTTACTATTTAAGGAAAAAGAAAGTAGTATGAAACTGTATGTGGATTACCTACCGATAACTGATGATTGAGGTTACATATCCACTCTAGATTATTGACGACTGGATGGACCAACTGGTAGGTGAGTATGTTCTTAGTATAATTAAATTGGGGTTAGATTATCTTCAGATACGAATGAAGAGTGAGGGTAGTTAGAGGACAACTTTTAGAAATCAGTGAAGTTATTTTGAATAATTAAGTCAGTTTGTTGCGGTGTGTATTGAGGGTATTTTGGTTTAGTTTGAGTCAGAAAAGGAAATGTTGAATGTCGTGACTAGAATTACAGTGTCGAAAGGAAAGGAAACATATGTTAGGAGGTCAGAATGTAGATCATGATTTGAAGAGGTGAATTTTCTTGAACATTCTACTTTGAATGAAGATATTTGTGGAATCTATTCAAAGTAAATAGAGGTTTATATCGAGAGACTCTGAAATTGGTTATGAGACTAGAACTTTTCAGGAATTAACTGGTTATTATCGCACTTGCTTGAGATGAGGTTAAGTGAGATGATTTGTTAGTGAATGAATTAAGGGAATGAAATGTTTGACATTAGTAAAGATGTGAATGTATTAAATAAATGCATATAGATGCAACTTATGCCCATTAAGCATGATTAAAGTAATGGTAGCGTTGAGATTGTGATTAGAATGAGATCCAAATGCGAGATTAAAGGAAAGAGTAAGGATTCATTGATATGGTCAAAATATTCTAACTGGGTAAAGACTTATTTTGGAATGAGACAATTTGGATTATACTTGGTGTAGTAGTTTTCCTGTATTAGAATATACTTAGCAATTGTGTTGTGCTTGGTGCGCATAAGGGAGACTATGAAATGGAGTTTTAGCATTTATGTATCATTGAAGAGGTGGAAATGAAGGAAATTAAGAAAAACGTTTGTAAGCCTTTGAGAGATTGTTGGACATTATGCTCAGGTAACCTTGAGCACAAGGTGAAAGACTCTATTATAGTTGGGTAACGATGATTTATGCAACCGTTATAGTTGTCGACTACCTATTGACAAATTGAGGAACTGATCACCCTTAATCTCTTGTTGATAGTAGACGATATCTTAATGGATGGGATAGACGTGTCTTACTAGCTTGATGGTGGGTAAAGTGATTGACGTTTTATCAAGAGGATAATTGTTCACCATTTTAAGTGAATCTAATGCAAAAAGTGGCTATGAAAGAGTCAGGATTTATTAAGCAGTTTAGAGACTTGAGTTAGTATGTGAGCTAACGCCACAGAGTAGACGCTTGAGGATGTCGAAAAGTGAACAATGATTTTCTGGTGGTTACTAAGGAGAGTCTGAAGATAGATGTGAAATTTGTAGGTTTGATGGTTGGTGGAAATCAAATTGAAGACATTGACTTAAGATAAATGATCAGAGTAGCACAATGGAAGTTGTTGCAACTGGTTTTCAAATAGAGTCGTCACCCTTAATTTTTATCCTAATGGAATGGAGTATAAAGGAATAATCCTAAAAGTCAGAAATTCTAGATTTGGACTTGGTTATAGACAAGGGAGAGGTGTTAGGCACCCCTTATCTACCTTGTTCACAAGAATACTAGGTTTAGAAGCACGATCTTAGGAAATATGGTTTTAATTATTATTGAGGAAAAAGGGTTTGAATTTTAGTTAGGGGGAACTCGTCACGATTTTAATCGTATGCCTACGTATCCTATTATGAGGAATCAAAGTCATATTTCGTAGTTCACGGTTGGTTGGTGTTTTTATAAGATTGCGGAGAATTTCTTACGAATTAACCTTGAACCTTGTCTGAGTTGTAGGTTGAGTGATCGTAGACGCAGTTTGCAGTTTGATTCGAAGACAATGCTATTTAATCCTTTTTTGAAAAAATGATCTTGAAGTTTTGATTAAGTTAATAGGAAAAAATAGTTTGTAATTAAGACGTAGAGCGGGTGAGTCTGATATGGTCTCCTCATCATGTGGTCAGATATTGGCCACGTGTCGCTCACGGATGGTGAATTTGGTGAGTTGCGTGGATTTTAATTATTTGATTTTAAATAATAAACTGGTAGACGATGTGTCGACCGATTTAATTACTCGAAGATGGACATCCTATTATTTATAGAATATTTGAATTAATGTACAAGGATTTATTTTTTAGTATTTTTGAGGATTGATAAACTAATCTAAAAGGAAAATGATTTTTTTTTTTATATTTTAGTAACAAGAACTAAATAAGAATTAACCTAATTAAACTAATTTAAAAAGGCTAACTAAAAATACAAGACTAAACTAAATGATAAAAATTAAACTAATTAAATAAAAATGAATGAATTAAACCAAATAATTACTAAACAAAAGCAATAAAAAGAAAATAATTAAATTAAATGGACTGGGGCGCAGAAAGGAACAACTAGGTTATGTGAACAAGAGGAACCCAAGGCCCAGTTCATTATCAACAATCTAACTCTAATTTAAAATTTTTTTTTCAAATAAACAATAAAACTATAATAAATGATAAATTAAAAATAAAACAAATGAGGGCCAATCGGCCGTACCTTTTTCACGGTCTTGCTAAATATTGTAACAAATGAATAACTTGAATGACTACTAAGAGCATTCACATCCATACTACTCATATTAATAGTATAAGTGGGTCTCATCTAATATAATATATTATTTTACACTTCTCAATTATTTAAACCACTTAATTATATTTTCTAAATATCCATACTACTTACTTAAAACTCTAACATGGATCCCACAAAATTAATCCAACAGTAATTTAATCCAACAGCTATACATGCTACAAGCTAATATATTTATTAAAAGCTACGATACTTTTTTTGGATACGGTGCCAATTAATACTACTATCATTTGTCTTCTATTATCAATACTACTCTGACTACAGTAGTACACATAGACATAAGCCACAATGATATTTATGCTCTAAGGCCACTTGGATCAAGACACATAGCCATTATTTAAACTTAAAAAAATAAGAAAAAAAACAAGAAAATATGGAATTGTTACAAAAATAAAGTAAAGAAATATATAGTAAAACTAGAGAAAAACAAAACAAGTTTCAAAATTCTCTCCACTTCTTCTCATCACGTGGCTTTTACCCTTCTCCAGCTATTAATTATAAAAAATAAATAAATCAAAAGAACAACATAGCAATCCATGTACTAGAAACCAGAAAACAAATTTCTCATCTCTTGCGAACTGGTTCTTCCATATCGTTATTTTTCCCAATTTTTTACAAAATAAACCAAATCAACAACATGAATCATCTTCTCAGATCATCATTATCTCAACAAAAATTAATTAAAATAAACGAAAGCAAAAAAATAGGAACTTGTAACTGACTCGGTGCGGCAATGACAAATTTGCATCACGGCTTCGTAATGAGCCAGGCGGAGGGCGCGACTAAGGGTGATGGCCGGTGCACGGAGGTTGAGCGGTCCTGGAAGGCGTTGGTGGAGGTGGTTATCGGAGCTGATGGTGCGGATCTAGAATTCGCTGGTTCGCGGCTACGGCGGTAGTGAACCACGGTCTGGGGAGGACGTTGGTTGTTATTGATGTCGAAGTCGAGATCGTGAATTTACTGTGTGACGGTGGTGGAGGTTGCTATTAATAGTCATGGAGATCACAGAAGATGCTTCCGTGAGAATTTATCGGTTGCCGGTAATTTGGTTTCTTGCAGATTGTTAGCATAACAATAAAATAAAATTGTAGCATGTTTGTTCATTATCATTGTCATAACTTCCTATGAACAATGGATTTGAATAGTTGTAATATGAACATAGTTATTATTGTCATTTTATGTAGTATTCATGTGAAGGATATATTAGTGCGGAAAACATACAAATTTAGAAGTTGATAAAGTAAAGAGTTTTGCTTATTTTACAGGTTGTGTATATGAAAAAAAGGGAGTGAGAACTTTTGGATCTTTGTAAAAGAGGTTACTAATGTGAGAAATTTTCTTTGAAACTTTTAGAGTAGAAATTGCAGTTAGAAGCTATGACTTATGACTAAAGTGGTGATTGGTATTGTACGTGTGCTATGCGGAAATTTAGGGTGTGAAAAATACAATGTGTAGGGGTGATTAATATAGTGGAAATGTGTATTTATCAAATACTATTGTATCGTGAGTGAATGGAAAACTATGTGAATCATTTGCAGTAGCCGTGGATGTGTTGGTGAAAAAACCATCTGTAATTATTATCATATGGTAAAAATTATGAATAAATTAAAATTAAAAAAGAAAGACAAAAATTAAATAAATAACAAGGGAGACCTCATATAAAATCATTGGCCAAGAATAAAGAAGTTGTTGTTGTTGTATGATATAGACAACAACAAGGTTATGAACCTTAAAATAAATCAAAACAAAAGTTTTTGTGTGTGATTGGAAATTTTGTGAATATGTGAATGATTGTTGATTTGTAAGATAAAATTGTTAATGATGTGGTGTAGTGAAATTGTTGATAAAACAAAATACTACATATATATTATTTTTTTGCGAAGAAAGGAAATCATGAGAAAATATCATTATATGGTTAAATAAAACAATAACAACAATTAAAAAAATAATCAGGAGACCTCATATGAAATCATCGGCCAAAAAATAGTAAAACAAACACCAATAATATTGAGAAGAAAATTTGAAAAGAAAGTGTGTGTGAAAAGTTGTTGTGAGAAATTCTATATGAAAATTTTAGACAATGAGGAGTCCTATTTATAGAGTGGGAATTAGGTTAGAAAAACGTAACAAGTAAGTTATCCAAACTGAATGAAAAACCCAAGCCCGATTTCCAAAAAGGAAATAAAATTAGTAACAAAAAGAAATAAAAAGAAATAAAAAGAACATTACAAGTGTTCCACAAGAGATTTAAACCCACGACCTTATATTTGCAAGTTTTATTCTTTATCAATTATATTGTCTTACTCATTTGTAAATAAACTCAATTTGAAAGAATATGAAAGATGTGCAAATATTTGCTATTTTTTAAAAATACAAATAATTTGAAATGAATCATTATATTTTTAAATAGGTTTGGAAACGAATATTTATAAAAATCAAACAATATTATAAAAACAAAGTTTAAAATATTTTTGACTGGAGTTGAGAATGAACATCTATAAAAATCAAATAATATTATAAAAACAAAGTTTAAAATATTTTTGATTGGACTTGAGAATGAACATCTATAAAAATCAAATAGTATTATAAAAACAATGTTTAAAATATTTTTGACTGTAGAAATAAAAGGGAAAGCAAATTTGGAGTATGACAGAAGTGTAGTGTGACGTAGTTTGTTATACAGGTATGACTTTGGAGTCAAAGATTAAACATTAGAAGTTGTGGTTTAATGCAAACTATTAGACATTCCATGATGGAATTGTTAGTTGAAAGGTTACCTGTATTATTCGTGTTATCACCATGTCAATAGATATATTCAATTGCATGATCGATTTTTTTGGGATATAGCATTGTGGCACTAAGGTTGTGTTGATGTTCTTAGGACAATATTGTTGTGTGATGTAATAATATAGACAATGTTCGTGTCATGAGACTCTGCGTCCTTAAGCTATGTTGTTATGTCGTTTCCTATGGAAAGGACTCGGGGGTGAGCCTATTTTTCCTTATGAAGAAAAATTAGAGAAGCTTATTTATAGTGACTGAAAAGACATCATTGTGTTCCGGTTCAAGCGTGAACAATATCGTAAAGTAATAGATCTTGTATCGTATGATGATGGGACAAGGAGAAAAATGGATATGTGCATTCATAACTCGGTAGTAATGCATCTTGTTAGACTGTTATAGTTGACGATATATAATGTTGGATAGTAGTATTCGAAAGATTTCCAAACATGACGTTGGAGCTGTAGGGTGGAATGCAAGATTCGTATCCGAAGTTGTTTGCAATAAGTAATTTTTGAGGACGAAAACGTTTTAAGTGGGGGAGAGTTGTAACACCCTAAAAATCTAGATTAATTATTTAATTAATTTAGTATGAATATCAATGATTATTGGCGAATATATGAATTATAGCGAATTAGTCGATGCAATGTATTTTTATGAGTTGATAGATTTTATGATGTGATGTGATGTGATATGGTGTGATGTGTTTGTTAATAATGAGATGTCTTATAAATTATAGAAGTTGAGGTGTTAAAGGTGTATGACCGAGACCATAAAACCATGAGGGTGTGGTGAGAAAACTAGTAATCTTTTTATTATTATTATTATTATTATTATTATTATTATTATTATTATTATAGATACAAGTTATTTATAATATTAGTAATTAAATAATTAATTAAAAATAAGGAAGGGCAATATGGGGCTATTGATATTAGGGATCTAAAGAGATAGAGAGAATCATTATTCTCAATCGATCATAGAAATTAGAGAAGAGGGAAAAAGAGCGCTTTTGGGAGAAGAGGAGAAAAGGAAGAACCTAGGGCTAAAGGGAAGACTCCACTGGAGAATGAAAGAGAACTCAAAATCTAAGGTAAGGGTGGAGTTCTAACTTTATAAGGGTTTGTACGATGATGGGTTATGGTAGAGTTAGGTTATGTAATTATATTTTCATCTTTGTGAGAATTGGGTGTTTTATATAATTTATCTATGTGACAATTGTTGACGATGAATGGGTGTGAAATTCTTGCATTTGATGTTGTAAAAATGAAGTTGATTGATGGGTGATGTTTGAGTGTAATTATTATAATGATTTTTGATTTGGATGAAAGAATCACTTAATTTAAGTGCTTAATTATATTTTTGTATGAATTAAAATGGTTGGTATTGAGGTATGAATGTGGGAAGTTCAATTATAAAGATTAACGGTATAGTAGGTGGAAGTTAGACATGTTTACCGGATAAATAAGTGCTTTTCGTAACATAAAAATCTGATTTTTTTTATTCTGGAATAGTAGGAATCGATTACCATATATGGGTATCCGGTTACCATTCGAAAATATCGTTTTTAGCCATTTTGACAGGGGGTAACCGGTTATCGTATATGGGTACTCGGTACCCTACTGAAACTGACAGATTTTGAAAATCTTTGAAAATTCATAACTTTTGACTCGGGTGTCTGTTTGATGTGTCGTTCGAACCTACAAAAAGCTAAAATATTTTCTACTCAATAAAAATGATTTTTAAACAGTATGAGATGATTTTATGGATTTTTTTTGTTTGGATGTTGTGTTGTGATTGTGAAGTTGTGAATATGAAGATGAATGTGAAGAGATTTCTTCATGTGACGATGTTGTGATGATGTATGTACTATGATATATGCTTGGTGGCCTGTATTGGCTTATTATGCTGTTTTAATGTAATTGCGAAGTTGTGAATATGATGATGGAATCAATGAGATTGGTATTGTGATTGAGTACGATGATGTTGCATGAATGTTTTAATTGTGTGACATGATATGCGTGATGATGATGATGGCCTTTATTGGTGTAGCATTGATAAGTAAAAGTAATCAATGTAAAATTGTGTTGTTGCATATCAGTGTCGCATGCATTCATTAAAGATGGTTTGTATTGGTGAAAGATGTCTTGTATTGACGTTGTTGCCCCAAGTTGTCATTATTAAGTTGAGGGTTTTGTCCTATTGGTACCACATGCATTTGCATTAGTGTCAGTTGCATTGCATATTGTTGAATTGTTAATACAATGATGATGTTGAATTTCCTGTTGTTGATACGATGATGATGTTGAGTTGCATATTATGGATATAACGATGAAGTTGAGTTGTATGTTTGAATTATGTTGTATGATGGATAATTATAGTTAAGTGTGTATCTACGTAATTGTTATGAACTATAATTGGTGATTATTAAGCTGAAATCTTACATGATATATCTGTCGTATATTCAATATCATATATTTATTTATATTGTTATGATATCTCACCCATTCTATTTGAATGTTGCCTCCACGTGGATAACGCGCAGGTGACAAAGATTCGGGTAGCTTGAGGTATGGAGTTACGCCTCATAGTGCATAGATAGAGTCGGGTCTTGCTCTGATACGTAACACTGGGGATAAACATTTGTTTTTCTTATTTAGTCGTTGTTGTCTTTAAAAGATTGTGAGAGTATTATAACTCTTTTTAAAAAAAAAATTGATGAGACGTTGTTTATGGATTGTTGGAGTTGTTGACCAATTATATTTTGGATTGGTTTCGTTGAATTAATAAAGTGAAGTTAAATACCATGATGATTATGATGACGGTTGATCCGAAAATAATGTGTTATGTATCCATTTGTTAATGTTTGAGAAATTTTTTATCAAGAGGATAATTGTTCACCATTTTGTGTGAACCTGATGCAAAGAGTGGCTATGAAAGAGTTAGGATTTATTAAACAATTTAGAGACTTGAGTTGGTATGCGAGCTAACGCTACAGAGTAGACGGTTGAGGATGTCGAAAAGTGAACAATGATTTTCTGGTGGTTACTAAGGAGAGTCTGAAGATAGATGTGAAATTTGTAGATCTGATGGTTGGTGGAAATCAAAATGAAGACAGTGACTTAAGATATATGATCAGAGTAGCACAGTGGAAGTTGTTGCAACTGTTTTTAAACAGAATCGACACCCTTAATTTTTATCCTAATGGAAGGGAGTATAAAGGAATAACCCTAAAAGTCAGAGATTCTAGGTTTGGACTTGGTTCTAGACAAGGGAAAGGTGTTAGGCGCC